GGGAAATTTCCTTCGGGTTGCGACCAATTCGGGCTGCGACCAGAGTCACAGAACGAATTAAATTCGTAACCTGAGGTTCCACTGTATTTAGAATTTAGTAGACTCTATTACATCTGTATAGAAAAGGATTGTCAAAAACAGCGTTTTGTTGGAGATGTAATAAGGACGATGCCTCATTAAAGCATATGTTTCTACAATGTCCTATAGTTACTAAGTTTTGGGAGAAAGTAGTGGACTATATAAATATGATGGTGTGACAAAAGCTAAAATTTTCAGGGGACAATATTCTTTTGAACTATATACCTAATACATGGAACTGGACACCCAGACAATGTAAATGGATTCTCTGTGCCCTTACTATGGCTAAAAGACTGATACTGCAGCATTGGAAAGATAAACCTATGGCCCCATTTATTCAATGGATTGAAGATCTGATTGCACTTGCTACTTATGAGCGGATTGCCTATAGATGTAGGCTTTGTATGGACAAGTATAATGAAATATGGGACACATTTATACAAAATACACTGGGTTAAAAAAAATGATAGTCATATAAATGGATTAGAAATATATACATACTTGAATAATAATAGGTATGTATATATAGAATTGTAATTGTTTACTGTTATGATGACATATTAACGTGTTTTTTTCTTTGTTGTATTTAACTTTTTTGTTAAAGCACTGTGGGTTTTTTTTCTTCTCAATAATAAAAATAAATAAACTTGGCTTACTCTACTGTCCATTTTATGCCAACACTTGCTGTGAGCTGTTAATTCCACACCTGATTACATATCCTGGTCATTCTGATCAGTTCTATTTAAACCTCTTACTCTCAGATTCAGGTGACCCCATCTCTTTAAGTGGGGTCAACTTCTGTCATGTGATATGTAAGTCTGCAGCAGCCTGACTGACAAATCTGTTCCCCTAACTATCAATATTAATTTTATGTATCCAAGTGGTTTATGGACTGGTCATTGGCCGCAATAAAGGTTCTGTTCTGTTCGTTTTCAAAGGTAGCTCTAAGAGTTTAAAAATTCTAACGATATAGAGATGAGAACTTTCTGAGGTAATGCCTAGAAATACTTACGATTTGGAAATGTCAATACTTACTTTGGTCACCAAGGTATTGTGAAATTGCCCTGTCATTCTACTGGCAGATCTCTTTTTGTACGTCCTTAACAGACTATGGACTTCTCTGGAGAAGGATAATGCTCTTTTTGTATACATTGTTGACATGGTTCCCAGACTGCCGCAAATGTTATAGCAAAGTGGTCGAAAATTATATTTTTAATTGGATAGCGCTTCAATTAGGTCTCCGAGGTAGGCCCTAAGTCCTGAAACTGAAACTGGACAAGGCACCCGCAACACTGCAACCAACTAAATGGAAGAGGCTCAGGAACGAAAACGATGACGTTCCACCGATACATTTTCGGAAGTAAATCGCCAACAAGAGAACGGTCTGAACTGCAGAGAAGGCGAAGAAGAAAAGCGCTATTCCCTAGAGAAGATAAGCCAATCGAAGCCTCCCGCCAGACAATCGGGGAAAGGGTTAACGCGCCAAGAAGGCTGCAGATGCCCGCACCTTCCCTTACAGAGCCAGCCACCACCGCCGCTTGAGGAGGACGCCCTTCCCAAGTCCGCTCCCGCGTCTTCCCTCGGAGCCTCCACGTCCCAGTCGCGCGCTGCCTGCGGCGCAAGAAGGATCTCGGCGGGGCGCGCTCCTTTGAGAACAGCGACCTGGCCTCGACTCGCAGCTCCGCCAGCAGATGTGGGCGGTCTCCGCATATTCCCGTCCCCTCCGTAGGAGGAAGGGACTGACCTGGACTTTCATCCAGCCTTCCCTACGCACCCACCCCCGCCCTGTTGCTGCTGCTGCGCCCTCTCGGCTGCACGCCTGGAAAGCCGGGAAAGAGTGGGGGGAGCCTGGGCGCCAGCGTCGCCAGTGGAGGAAGGCGGCTTCAACATGCTGGAGATACAGCTTACGTTTCTGTTGTGCTTCAGCGCTTCACGCTGTCCGGCCGTTCACAGCTGAGGAGGCCCGCCTGTTCTCGCTGGAGACGGGTTGGACCGCTCTCCGGTGCCCCAGATCTCACACCAAGCAGGGCCACCGTGAAATTGGGGCGAATCGGATGTCATTGCCCAATTCCGTAATCTCGGGACTCTGCTTGGAGTCTTCTCTCGGCTGCCTTGGCTTCCCCTTCCCCCAAACCACATTTAGGTGTTGCGCCGAGTTTAACATAACGCAAAAGGAAGAAATGCATGGAGGCGTCCCCCAGTTATAAAAGTGTGTCTATGAAAATGTTTAAAATTAGTAAACAACGTACCAAAAAGATTCTAATTTGAACAAGTATAATTAAACATACCCAGAGAGAAGTCAGGGCAGAAATAGTCCCAAGTAGGAAAAAGGGTCCCTGCCCTGTCTTGATCCTGTAGAACTGAATAATTGACCCTGGCCAGCCAAGGGCAAACTTGTCTCTTACTGCAGGGGGCTGGGGAGTCACTGAACGTAAGGAATACTGTACAAGGAAACTAGCCAGTCATGAAAGCCCAGTTCAGCGTCTTTCATTTTCAGAAGGCTGGAATGAGGAAGAGCAGGTTGGCTGCAATTGTCTAGAATCTAGACCCCTGGGTTTGTCTTGACAAATATGCTGAGTTTCTCCCTTAAGTAAATAACAGAGCTCCACTCTTATCTGCTTGGAAGCCTGAAGATAAATTAATTTCAAATACAGGAATGGGGAAGAGATGGACATGGGAAAAAAATTAGGAAGCATAACGCTAATTGAGAGAGAAAACAGGGCAGACAGACTTCTGGTGAGGACATGGCGAGCTAGACATCCCTCATCTCTGAAGGAGCAGGGACGGCATTACAGGTGAGATCGCTGACCAGGGGACAGATCCCGGCCAGCGAAATCTCTTCAAAGACAAATCGTGGGATTGTCCACATGTACTCCAGACAGCTGCTCCTCCTGAGTAGACTGCAAGAACTGAGTTTTTTGCAGTCAGCTGGTGAGTGAAGTGGCTGGGAGTTGAGGGATTCCATCTATGCCCACAATCATAATGTAGCCTATATGGACATAAAGCTCAGCCAAGCCTCATTTCTTAATCATTTTTTGAATTACATTTTTACTGCTGTTTAAATATTAAGAACCTTCGGAACAGCAAGTTTGATGGCATTCACTGGGTGAGTTTCCTTCAATCCTTAATGAAAGGAATTTTAAGTGCAACTTTAAGGACTTGGCCATTTTGGGGAATAAATGGCAAAAGGGTGATTAGAGTGTTGTTTTTGGAAAGTTATAGGTAGATTAAGGGTCTAGATCGACTTGAAATGGGATTTTAAATTAATTGAATAAATCCTTCCAGTGGGAAAATGGCTCATTTTGAATCCCCCCCCCCCAAAAATGATAGGATGGGACTTTGAAGGTTGGACGCTACAGGGAGCTAAAAGGAAGTAAAGATTATAATTAAAGGAGAACCCCTATTTGACTTGTTAACACAGAATGGAGCAAAATACCTTAACATCAAATCTACGGAAGGATATATGTGAACAATGAACTCAAAAATTAATTTCAAGAATGTCTGCCATCATAGACTATGTGTGAATGATGTTACAGAAAAGGAACAAGTTCTACTGGATAAGACTGAAATAGATTTGAACGTGGATTAAAAATGACAGGCTGCAAGAATGATCTGGAAAAAGATGATATACTGGATATACAAATGAAACCAGCTGACATTTTAATAATTAAAAAGGACATACAACCAATCAACCAGGAGAGTGACTTGGATAATTTGCCTATATTAGATTTACCAAAAAGACCTGTTAAAGTTTTGAAGGGCTTGGTGAGAAGGGACAAGGAAAAAAGGAAAAGAAATCAAGTTCTAGGACATTATTTGAAGGAATTAAAGATCAAGATTGTTAAAAGTAAAGGGAAGGAATATAAAGTTGGTTTGATCAAGGTTAAAATAAATGATGTTATTTCTGGTAACCCTTAATGGATTTTTGCTGACTAGGACTGAATGACGTGGCTTTAAGAATTTGTCTATAGATAAAAGAGATGATATGGGATGAAGTTTGTTGTTTTTAAGAGAAAGTGATAAGTTGTTAAAATTGTATATCCTTGTTGAGATGAAGGGGGAAGTTACTTCTTTATATTTATATTTTATTTTTTGTTATATTCTTTTCTTTCTTTTATATTATTTTTTCTTTTCTGCACTTGTTACTTTTTCTATTTTTATTTTTTGTAATTTGTATTACTTTTTATCTGTACAAATACTTAATAACATTATTTGCAAAAATAGAGAGGGGAAACAGTGTAGATGCCCATAATTCCCATAATCTCTTTGCAACGAGTCAACAGTTTTATAGACCTTAAAACCATGTCAAACAATTTTTATGGGCTGGAAACAAGATGAATTCAGCATTGTGAAGGATGAACTTTGGACCTGTCAGGAATTATGGTGCCACTTTAAACAAATCAGGAGAGGGCCAAAGATGTACTGGAGGAAATGGGATGAACATCTCCACCACCCCCAGTGGTGGAGAAAGGAGAATCAGGAGCTGGTCCCTTCCATGAGACCCATTTAGGATTTTAAACATTTCCAGCAGGAAGACTGGAGCTTGATAGGAAACTGAAAAATCTGTATACAATATTCTTATTAAAAAATGCCTGGTCAAATTTTTTTCTACCATGGCTGTGTGGCTAGTTAAAAGATCTAAAGATCATAACAAAAAGCATATACCGATGTTATCTCCATACAATTGTAGTCATCTGAAGGGAGACAGCAGACCATGATTTTGCTACTACTTTCTGACAAGTCTATCCCATTGAGGAAACTTCTGTACAGTGAGCTTGCTGTAAGCCCATAGCTCTGTAAGCACTTTTTCTATCTCAAATTGCTACTATCAGACCAAACTGATTCTACTTTGATGACTGCAGCCAGAAAATGTTTCATAGTTTGTACAATACACATTAATTTTTCTTCAAGCATCTCCTTTTCTGTTTGGAAACATTTCAAATGCAGCTGTCCATTTAGTCTCTACTTTTTATCAATGTTTTATGTCATTACTGTCAACTGATTCTCATCTCTGTGTTATTTTCATTAGCTGCCAGAGTAATTTAAAAAATATATTCAGTATAATTGGACTGTAACTTTTTAGTTTTGAAACTATAATGACTCCTTATGTTTCATTCTTCCTTATACATTACATTATTATTTTTTCTAGATATATCAATTACAACTTTTCCATGGCTCTCAGTATCATAATGGTTCTGTATTTTAGATCTGTAGTTTTCTATTATTCTAAATATTTGCCTTATATAAATTGTATAATACCTTACTATATTAATTTTATGCCCCAAATTCTTAAAATTTAACTTACAATTTTACTTGTATTATAGTATGGTTTTATAGCTTGTTTTATTCTCGTCAATTTCTGTGCTGTATAGGCTGTATTGATATTCAGCAAGTTAAATGTGACTTTTGTTTTGTTTTGCTGGTCAATGACCAAAATAAAATGACTGACTGACTGGGATACAGAGTTTCCCCATTGTTATGGGGAAGAAACTAAATTCATAAAACTGTCATCTCTAGCAAATCAAGCTAATTACATGTATCTTTAATAAAAAGGGTAAAGTCTCCTTCATGTCAGACTCATTCATATCAGTGCATATTGTTCATCTTTTCTCTGTAAATTCGTGCAAGGTGACAGGAAAACACTACCTTCAAAAGAAAGCTTCTTTACTAATTTGTAACAATGGCATTTGATTTTAGAATGTGGCTACGATTTTCTAGGCATTGTATGAGGACTACCATGTCTGCCTGCAAAGCCTCAGAGGGACATTAGATGGCAGCAAAGAGTTCTATATAGCTTTGCTGCCATCTATTGGCCATCTGGATTTCTGCTGCTCAGTTATGGTAGCTCTAGTCTAGGAAGCTGACTTAGCTGAAAAAAACTACAAGAAATAGGTGAGTATCTCTTTGCTGCCATCTAGTGGGAGCAGGTACAAAAATTAATACAGGACTTCCTTGGAAGGGCTACAGGTTACTGCAGTGCACAAGGCAGTCACCAAAAGTCAAGCAGGACTCAGTAGCATCTAACCAACTAATATTTTTCTATTTAGACTTTAAAATCAGAAAACTGCCTAAATCTCCAAGGATGCCAAGAAATCTAGAAAAGCTTTTATATAAATAAAAAGAGATGTGAAAATTAGGAAGAGTATGGCATCATTTACTTAGAACTAAGACTCAGCTCAGAGGGACTCTGTTCTTCATGGCGATGTTCACGAATATTGATGAGGATTTATAGCACTGTGGTCTGTTGAACAAACAATAGCGGCTCCATGTTACCAAACAAAAAGTCAGCAACATGGTCTATAGTTGCTAGGGTATCCATTTCAGCTCTCATGGTATCCCTCCCCACAGTGAGTTAAAATAAAATAGGGCTATGCACACTTTGAAAATGAATTGGAATTATTTTGGACCTCATGCAAGCCCAATGCCCCAATAAAGCAACTGCTCTTTTTTTCAGGCTTCCACATGAACATTTCCCACATTTAATATTGAACAATCAGCAGGCAAAAGATCTATTTATTTAGGCTAACTGGCCTTGTATGTGATATCAGTGCCTATTCTGCTTGAAGACAGAGCAATCCAACTCTGCAAGCAAACAGCTTACTGGGGGATTTTAAAGACCCCGTAACTCAAGGATGTGACAGATACAGCTGCAGCTCCACACTGGGTTGCTTCATTTGCTTGTTGAGACGCATTTGATGCTGTTACGGTACAATTCATGGGGACAGGAGTACTGGCATCTTTCTGTTGACATGGGTCACAATTTGCTCCCGTGTGATCTGGGCACGGTGTAGAAGGACAGTCAAGGGAGATCACCTGCAAGATAAAGGTTTCAGGATTCTGGGCAGGAGCCCCTCCACTTCCTTGGCAGTGTTCGTTTTGCAGCGCTTGCACTGCCACTTGCAGGGTTGTGTCAGTCGATGTTTGGTTGAAGGTTTTTTTCTGCTGCTCAGCGGCACGTCTCATCACTTCTTCTGCAGACAGAGAAAATAACATTTAAATTATTAGAATGCTGGGGTTAGCAATATTTGTAAAACTGGTTGCATATAGAATGTGTTGTGATTTTCATTGTTCTCTGCTTATACCACACTATACTGTACATACAAAATTTAAAAGAAAACCTCTGATTCTTCAGTGTCATGAAAATAAATTAAAATGATGAAGCAGACGGTCACGTGATAATCTCATGTCTTTTTCATATTTTTACAATTTCACACTTTTTCTCAGCTTACACATGCTAATCAAAGCTTCTTCATGTAATCATGAAGCAACAAGGTTTCTGATTATATCCATCTTTCTAATATGGTTCTCTAATATTTTCTGAATAAGCCGTAGAATTTTTAGCAGATGCCAGCACCTCATCTGATCTTGGAAGCTAAGGAGAGTTGCCTCTGATTGCTACTGGCTTGGGGGATTTTCTAGGAATGCCATATACTAGGCCTGAAAGTTGAAAAAAGTATTCCGGATGAAGACAGTGGCAACTCAATTCCATGACATTGCCAAGAAAAAGGCATGTATGTAAGGATCATCCTACATGTCCTGCCCTCCCGGAATAAGGAAGGTCCCCCTGGAATAAGGATGGTTTCTCAAGGACGGGACACATGGTACTGTCCTCAACCCACCTCCAGCTTACCATGAAGGCAACTTCCACCCATATTTTCTTGCTGTACATCAAAAGTAGCACTTTCTGATGTATGCCAGCACAAATAGTGCTGTGCAGGCTGCCTACTGGAGTTCATGTAATGCAGGCGAATGCCTCAGCTCCAGTTGGCTACTGGGTGTTGTGAGGGAGTGCTCCCCACCTTCTTCTGGTTACTGCCTTCCATACCCACTTCATACTCAGCTACTGGGCTGTTTGCTCCTTCTGAAAGCTGGTTTTTCCCCCCTTCCTCCTCCTTTCACTACTGGGGTTTTTTTTATTTATGAAACGGTGTGTGTTTTTTAAACAGGTGAAACTTTCAAAATTTCTATCAGAATCCACCAATTAGAGACTATGATAACTGCTCGCTGGACAGAACCACTGGCCACCCTCATTGCCAAAGCAAAGAACAAACTGGAATCTGGGCAGCAATTTCTTAAGTTGGCCTGATTTCCAGCTGGTCTTGGCTAGAAGACAAGCAGTTTAAAGCTGCCACGCAGAGTACAGTAGGCTACAGTCCCCAGTAATTGGGCTTAATTTGGGGGAGGTGTCTATCTTTTTAATGCAAGAAATATAGCGCTTTAGTATTCTGAAAGCAACTGCTACTTAGTGTCTGTACTCCAACCCAAGAACTCTAAAGTGACCTATCAGTAGAAGTTCTTCCTTTTCCATGACGTGCCGATCGATCCTAGCTCTAGCTCTCCATTTTCACAACGCTAACACCATTTACCGCTGCCAGTCTTGTGGCCTGGTCCAAAGGCAAAAGCAACAAAATTGGCGCCTTATGGCAACTTTTTCAATGCTTTAACATTTAGAAAATGAACCCAGAAATATTTAGATTTGGGATTTTCTCACTATTCCTCATTTTTGCAGTTTAAATCTGATTGTCCTACTTTTGCACCTTTTACTGAAGAAATTTGTATATTCATTGTAATGTATCCTGATTTCTGGGGGTTTTTTGCACATACTTTTTCCTGGTAAATAAATTTTGCAAGCAATTATCCCAGTTTTCCCTAACTATTACCCATGAAGTGTCAGATTACCATTCCATAGTGAAAAAATTTCCAGGTCGCTTTTGGTTAAATTTGTCCTTAAAAATCCAAGATTAGGTGGTTGCTGGAAATCCATTGAAGTAATGGCAGTGGGCGGTTCACTAGTTTTCTGGGGCTGTGGGTCATTAGGTATAAATTCCTCAATGATGACATCATCACTTTCATTAGGCTGCAGAGTCTTTGTTTTGGGAACCATGTCTCTCATCTCTTGTATGTTTGCATCTATATTCTGACCTGCAGCATTCCTCCAAGAACTTCCATTATCTATCAGTTCCTCTAGAAAATAATGTGTAAAAAGGAATATTCAGTTAAGTCAACTTGTATGAAAAGTAGTGTTGCATCTTATATTAGAAAAAATGGTCAATTTTTGATTAAAATGGTCAATTTTTGATAAAAACCATAAGATTTATAAAATGTATCATTAGGACCATTTTACAAAGGAGTTCTTATAATAATCCAGCAAAAAGGTGTTAAAAGTATTGGCAATATGCAGACAGCTAGATATAAGTTATAAAAACCATTATACTGATAAAGATGGAAATATACATTTATCTCCAGATGATTTATGCTTAAAACCCATATTTTGTCAGAATTTATAAAGCTGTGATTAGAATAAGCCATTTCATTTTCCCATAGTGATCTACATTAATCAAAACATTTGCTGAATTTACAATCTGAGTTAGCTGACCTAATCAAGACATGAAAATATAACACATCCACAATTCAGTGATTCAGTGTTTAGAAAGATTAATTCTCCATTAGAAGTTAAAGATTTCTGCATCAACTCAACATTTAGTGCATTGGTGCACCAAATGAACATTCAGCAAGAGAAAATAGCATAATATATTAATAAAAATTACTTAATTTGATGCAGTAAAATAGGATTTGCCAAATGTGGCAACTCAAGGATGAAACAGCTCTGACTAGGGAAAAGACGCAAGGAGAATTTGGTAAAATGAAAGTTACGGCTGGACTCATCATGAAGCAATAGGCATCTGTAAAGGGCAAACATCCCATATCCTGATAAATGTTATTTCTAATGCTTGGACAGACACCACCACTTTGTTTGTTTGCATTTTGCATGTATATGCTTAAATATTTTTGAAATATTGCATAAGTAGAATTTTGCATTTGTTATAGTATTACGCATTTGTACTTGTGTCATATAGATTTCCTGGTGTGTAAATCTACTTCATCTATAGTTTTCTAGAATATGGGTAAAAAACTATGGTTATGGATAAAAAAAAGTTTTTTCCTTCAGTTGAATTCATAATGAACTCTAGTTGTAGATAACCAAAGATAGCTTGAGTGCATTTTGCACAACAAAACGAATGCCTCCCAGTTTACGCCCCAAGATAAAAACTGGGACAGAAGAGGGCTTTCCATACCGTATGATTCCGTGACATCCATGACATCAGTATCCTCTGGTGGTTGTGCTAATTCTGAAGCGTTTGCATTGTAAACTATGAAGCTGACGTCCATTGGTTCATGTGCTTTGCTGACACAAAACTGGCAACGGCAAGTTGTGGGACTTTGTGCTGCAATGCAATAATTCCTGGGGCTGGAAGGTTGGGGTTTTTCTTTTGTTGTTTTCTGGAGTTTTTCTTTTGGTGCTTTAGATTTAATTGTGACTTGTTTTTTAGCCTTATTTTCCTCATCTAATGGTTCTTCTGAAAAGAAAGTGAATGTTCAACCAAGTTTAAAAAACTAAGTATACAGGGAGAAAGACTTTTAAAATAATCTATTATGTAACACTTGTGAATTTTCCTAGAATACAAATTTTTCATTAGATTTGTGCTTACAATTTTGCTAGCCAGGTTATATATTTTTCTCATTTTAGTGTCCTTTTTGTATATGCCGATGGCCAAGGGATAGCACAGGGCTCCCATTTGGAAAGAAATAGGCTGCAGGTATAGACGTTAACGATGGATGACTTTTTTAGTCCAGGAGCTGCAGTTAAAAACTGTTCAGTTTGCCACTATAGGATCATTTCTTTTTACCACTAATTGCCTCAGCTGCCCAGTCTCCCTTCTTGAAAATATCACGTCAGGCATAGGATTGTCCTACAACTTCTGCAGTGAAAAAGCGGACACCTAGAAATCTTTCAGCATTTTGATCCTAGCAACATCCTACTTTTTGCTGGCTCTCGTTCCTTGTTCACATCTCTTCTATGGAAGCTTGCTTTTTTTTTTTTTTGTTCCTTTTTGGAAAAGACCCACTTCCAAATTTTTTCCCACTTTCCCACTTTTTTCTCCTCTAGAATCTTTCTTCACAACGCTTATTAACCATTCTGTTTACTTCTTGGATTTAGTGGCACTTTTCCTGGTATGTGGTATCCAGGGGAATTTTCAATACAGTGGTTTGAGTAATCTCAAAGTTTTAAGGATTTGTTCTTTTTATTTTCCCCGTCAACTTGGTTTTTGCCAGAGCCCTTATTTTTGGAGCTACATATGTTAGACTTCCATAGCAATTTTCCACCTGAATATAAATTAAATCTGAACAACACTCATCTTATACTATGTCCTAAGCATCAATTAGGATGAAGTCCAGGATCACTCTCTCTCTGATAGGCTCCATGACTAATCCTTTGTGGGCAGAATAATTTAGGCTATCTAAAAGGTTACCTATTTTTATTTTAGTCATTTTTAAAATTATTTCACTTACATTTATATCTCATGAGTTCAGACTGACACTCATTTAATTCTCACAATAAGATCCTGTGAGGTTACTGAGCTGAGAGATAATGACAGGTTCAAAGTCACTCAATAAGCTCTATGGTCAAGTGGTGGATTCAACCCAGATCTCCCTGGTTTCAGTCCAACACCTTAACTTCTATAATAATCTATGCAAATTGAATTGAAATCACCGATTATTATAGGAATTTCTCTTCATGTCAGCTCTTTGACATAGGCTAGGTCAGGAAACAGACACCATAAACACTAGAATTTTACTTTATTGATATAGGCTATAACAAGAGAATCTTGAAAGCCTAATAGCATTTTCCTTTCCCTGCTTCTTATACGAAAGTGATCCAAGGTGGGGCAACTTCAAGTGTCTTTCTCAAGCTTTGCTTTCTTGGGCTAAGCTCATATTTTGTTGTCTCCATATACCTTCTCCATACTCATCTCTGTGCTCCTCTACACCATATCAGACCATACCCACCCAGGGGCATTCTCAAGGAATCCAATGATTTCAACAAAATGGCACACTGTGGCAGATGCAAGCTCTGCCTCTTTCATACATGTCACAAGAATGGGGCTTGTGGTGCAACAGCACAAAGCTGCTTTTGTCGTTTGATACCCCCCTCGCCCCTTCGCAGATCCCTCTATCACCCCTGTGTACTTTTTACCTTTCTTCCTATATTGCATTAGACTGACCTATTTCCCAGCTACTCGCAGAAAGTTTATGATTCAACAGTAAAGAATTTCAATTTGTATTTGGTTGGCTTTCTGTTTTGAATTGGCTGGTATTTGATTTCTGCTTTGAGGATCTCATCACTATAGCTCCACCCATAATACTTACTATCTGACCTTTGTAGTTGTTGAACGACGTACTACTCCCACAAGTTATTAAGGAAATGAAGGAGCAACTTTTCATTCAAGAAAGAAGGAAGGAAGGAGAAAAAAGTATACATTTCTATAGAATCATGAATTTTCAGGGGAGGTTGTTCTTGATTTTACAAACCACAGTATACAGAGGCAGTGTTAATTCTTATTGGCATTGCCTTCGTTTAAAATCATTTCAATTTTTTTTTAAAAAGTATGCAATTTTGTTTAGATGAAAATCTGTATTGAGATCAAACGTATGTCAGCAGATATTATTTATACCTTTGTTAATAGCGTCCTTGTTAATAGCGTCCTTGTTAATAGTGTCCTTGTTAATAGCCTCCTTACTGTCCTTCCATTTGTTTCTATTTGCTTCAATATTCTGCAGGATTTGGTCCTGAAATCTTGATAGGTTTAGGGCAATTAAATCCTGTTTTTCAGCACAAATCCCATCATTTTTCATGAGGCTGTTCCCACTAGGATTTACTTCAGCACTCCCCATGGATTGTTCTTGTTCTTTGCTAGGAAGGAAGGAAGGAAGGAAGGAAGGAAGGAAGGAAGGAAGGAAGGAAGGAAGGAAGGAATTGTTGACATAATTATGATTATATAATTATATTTTGTCATTGGATTACTGTGCATTGTATCTAAATGCAAATTTAGTGATAAAGTGAGCCTGAAAGAGTGAATTAATGGAGGAGATAGGTTTCTTGTTAATAATAACCAGGATAGTTACACAATGTACAGTTAAGGATACAATAACATTTAGTAGTTTATTTATAGTATATTTATATGCACTTATTAATCAACTTTCAGGGGAGATGGAAAAAACCAAAATCAGAAGTCCCTGTTCTTCACCCTAAGCTGAATTTCTCTACCATTTTACATGCATGGATCTTTTTCACCAGTATGTTTATAGCTACTCCATTCCATTTTTTCTTATAGCTATTACTGGCTCCCTTACAGTCAGGTAGCATGTTACGAGTGCTAAGCATGCCCACTCCTACTTGGGCTGTTTTGAGGTGCTCCAATATGGGGATATTTTGCTGAAAGATGGGTTGCTGACTGTATGTTTCTCTTGCAGGTGGGTGCTACTGTTTTGCTATAGAACTGTAGACATTTTCTTCTGAAGATCAGTGTTCCGTTCCCCCCAGTACAGAAATGGATGCCTGGGAAGTAAAAGAGGCTGACCAAAAGATTATTAAAATGCTGATCCTAAGCTGTTAACCCCCACTATAATCATATGGGAATAGTAAAGGTTAACATGAAAAGAATGATCTTAACCATGGCAAAGGCAATGTTGTATTAAGCAGTGTGTGGAATTTGTATTTAATTCCATTTAATAGGGGAGTTTCTGAGTCAAGGAGTTGAGGAACTTTATTACATCTCTGTAAGATGCAACATTGAGATTTGGGGTAGATAGCTGCCTCAAGTTTACCGGTTCTTGTTCTGCTATACCCTCAAGTATAATTGTTTTTCCATTGCTATCCAAAAGAACTAATTCAGTTTACATAACTGAAGTTTTCTTAGTATCTCAGCATAAACCATTTAATAAATTTTTACAGCAACATGGTACCATGAATTTTGCTGTTTAGATAAGCAATTTCCTTGGGGGTTTTATATTATTCCATTGTACAGCTCCCAATATTATTTAATTGTACAGCAGAATACTCATCCTTTTTTAAAATAATCAATAAAGCTGCAAAACTCCCATTTAAACAAAGAAAGCATCAAATCTTAAATGCTGAGTAAGCACTGAAATAATTACAGGAAAAGCAATGAAAGATGCTGCAGGACAGGATAAGTAACATGACCTAGAGATATGGCTGTGAAATGAATCCTATTCAGATGTGAGAATATGAAAATGGTTGAATGCATTCTGTACACTAGCCATGCTGCTGTATCTCTACATTAACACATCACCCCACCAGTCTCCACAAGAAAGCCTATGCAAGTGTGGAAGCAACTGTAAGGCCAGATCTTCTTCAGATCGTTGCACTTAATTTGTAGAAATTGAGGAGAGCAAGGGGTGGACCACATGAGTCAGAGTACATGACACAAAGATGAGGGGGACAGTACACATGACAAAATCCTTTATCTGCTCACTGTGCTTCATACCTAGGCACTAACCTCTTCTGCTGTTATTTCCCAATTTAATATTCTAAAATGAAACTAACCAACTAGGAGGATAATATATATTCTATGTATATAGCATGTTACAGAAGTATTGTGAGGTTCAATTCAACATATTACTATCATGAGCCTGCAAACAAATACAGTTATGAGATATTAATATTATAATGTGAACTTGACTTGTGATTCAGTTGGCAAAAAACCTGAAGCCCCAGCATCATAAATGAAATCACAGTGACTGGAATGTCTGAACCAATGTGGATACCTAGAATAGCCACGAATTGCAAAAGAACACAGAAGAGCAGATATACCTGTACAATTTTTACTTCATTTCTTCCCAAAAGTGTGGTGGAAAAGCAATGGCAACAACACCATCATCTCCACCCACATCTACAACCGTTTTTGCCCTTAATGCCATTGAGAAAGGCTGGTACAAAATACAATAATACCCCTCATTGTGCACCACCACTGTTAAGCCACGGCTGCTAAGTCACAGAGCTAAAAGTGTAACTTCTCCAGTTGTGAAACTGCCCCAACCTTCTCAGTATTTCTTCAGTCCCTTTTCTTCCCCTGTTAACTCTTCTAGATACCCACAAATATGCTGAAAATAGCTGGAAAAGAATATCTGGAAGAGTTGAAAGAAGGTTTATTTGCATGTTTAACTGGTTCCTAGACCTGGAAACAATGGATGAAAAGATAGGTTTTATCTTGCTCTTTGCCTTACCTATAAAGTGTTTGGAACATGGCATTATAATTTCTAGATGGGTAGAATTATTTTAAGAAATTTCTTAAAAGAGAGCTGAAACAGAGTTAATATCCATCAACTGTAACTTAATTTCGGAGTCAAAAGGTAACTTAAAACAAATAAGCAAGAATGTCCACACCAATTTTTTCCAGACTGAGATTTAGCATCTTCACGTGTAGTAGGAACAACTGTTTTCTCCACAGTTTCAAGTAGAAGAGCAAACACTGGTTTTACTATGACGTCAATAAAACCTAAAAAAAGGAAGAAAGAAAAAATCCAAACACAATGTTTAGTTTAAAGTTGAACAAATAAACTTCACTCAATCCAAGGTTCAGCTGAATGTAGTTTACGGCCAAATGTTCTGTAAAACACTCTCTCTGAAAATAAATGCCACTTAATAGTTCTTCAGAAAAAGCCTCATTAAAGTTATAATATTAGTTCTACGCTTCAAATCTGTCAACCTTACGAGATAGGCCAGACAGGAAATATGACTGGATGAGCTAATTAATTCTATTTTATTATAAAACTACATTAACAGAACCTTACAAGTCTGAAAGTACATCTCTCCCTCCCACCAGGTCTCCTTTACAGCCCAAGAAACTAGGGAGGGTCCCTTCTGAGCCTCTTGCCCTGCCCACACACCTGCTGTGGGCTCAGCTGCCTTTTACCTGACCATTCCCTTGGTTCTATCTCTTTGCCCTGTCTCCCAAAGTCATTCCCATATACCGTTACAACATTAGCCTTGCAGGCTAGAATTTATAGCAGCTGTAGTCCAATACATCTGGAGGGCACCATGTTTGGGAAAGCTGCTCCTGACTAAGAGCAGTTCAATAATTTACAAAATGTGTGGCATTATGAAAGGTTCATTGTGATTACACTGGGATTTTCTGCAAGAAAACATTGGCTGGGTTCACACATTGTGTGAATCCAAAAACATTATTTTAGCCTTTGCTCTCTCTCTCCAAAATGTAGATGGAAGCAGGAATTCTTTCCTCTGAAGGCTGCACATTTTCCCCCCAGCCTCCTAAATCATTGTTTCCAGCTTAATGTTATATGTGAATTATATCAATGTGATTCAACAAATCATCAGTAAAACAAATCATGGCTTCATGTGATGTATGAACTCAGCCAATGTGACAATGCACTGCATTACCTAAGTAGAAGGGAATCATTCTTTGTTCTGATAGTTGCTTTGCCGTAATTAAAAGAATTACCTCAATCTGACTGATGAGAGAAGAGTTTCCCCTAGAAGCAGCAGCTCTGACAGTGTAACTTAAGGAAATCATAATCTGACTTGACACTAAGAAACAAATAGAATTAGACCCCTATCTGTATCCTAGTTGTTACCAGAGGGGAAGGGTTCAAGATTCACATTAAGAACAGTCCTTTGGAACCTTCCCTGTGTTTGGAGGATGGTCAGGAACAAAGGTATCAATCTGAATGTCAGAAATAAAAGGAGTGGGAAAAAACAAAGTTTGCCTCCCTCCTTCATCACTGCGTTTAAGTGAACTTCACCTATTTGGGATTCTGCAATATTGGTTGTCTTGCGATCACACAGTGAAGAAATTGGAAGTCCCATTTCAGCCTCTTTGTCTCCCTAGTATTGGAGGAAGGAATTCACAGAAGCATGAGCTATTGTGAACAATAAGTGATACTTTAAACATACTGTGCTATGAAAACAGTTCAGAAAAACAATATTTTGAAAATGCTCTTCCTAAAACAGAGGAATAAAGATACATATGTTTTAGCACAATACCAAGAGTCACACAAGGTGTCAGATTTTAGCCTACAGTTTCCTTCCATCAATGAAACAGACACTGTAGGTGGGTTGAAGTACCGTCTCCCCTGCTGTTCTTCATACGCTCCATGGCAGATTTGGGGAGTGCTGAAGGAAGGCAGGGATGAGGAGGAGACACAAAAAGTCCCTTAGAAATATTTAAGAAGTTGCAGACAGGTACTAAGTTTGCATTCCAAATGCTGTGAATCAGCTTTTTGCCTTTGAATTTGAATTGTTGCACAGACCTATAATATATGCTTACTAATGGATTTTTAAATACAGCACCTGTTCAAAGAATTCTTCCAGTAATGCTTCTGCCCACTGATGGTGCAGTTCCCAAGGCTTTGCTGGATGGCTGATGTCAGCTACATGTACTAAAAAAGACATGATTTTATCTCGGTGTTCCCTGTCAAATTAAGAATATTCTGATTACCTGACCAAAAAAAGCCTCCACTTTTTTTTAGCCAGAGAAACTTTAGAATTCTTAATCACTCCCCAATCCCCCTCCAGCTCCCAATTCAGAATGAGGGCAGCCTCTCTTCCCAACGCAACCAACCTTTCAACATCTTGGAGACATTGCAGAATATGTTTCATGACTTTCATCTGCTGGAAATGATGTGACATATCTGTAGATAAAACTATATTAATAACCATGCGACGCAATTCCCTGAAAGCAGACAGAGGAACATTTTATTCTAGGTGTTGTCAAAATAAAGTTTTCAAATATTACCAAGTCCTAAGAAGCAATGTATCCCGTCTTCTACTTGGGAAAAACATTTTGCAGGTGGGTGCTGAAAAGTATGGCTTTGGGTTTTTTTACCCATTTCCATCCTCTATAACCCATTCACTGGATTCATTCACTATTTGTTCTAACTTTCCTGCTTCCGTGAAGTTTGGTAATGGCATATGGCCAGAAAATACAGACCGACTGTAGTTGAACCTTTCCCTAGGATAATTTTGGATTTTCATGGATGGTTGAAAAAGGAAAGATATTTCAAGAGGAGGAATAAGGTTCATAAGGTGCTCTTAAATAAACTAAGAATAGAAGAATATTAAATTACAAAAAAGCAGGGCGTATTAAGAGCATTTTGGTGATTACAGGTAGTCCTCAACTTATGACCACTTGTTCAGCGACCATTCAAAGTTACAACAGCACTGAACAAAGGGACTTATGACCCGTGCCCAACGTTATGGCCGTTGCAGCACCCCCATGGTCACATGATCAAAATTCAGGTGCTTGGCAGCCCACCCGCACTTACAACTGCAGGGGCACTTCAACTTTCCCACCTGCCGATCTTCCCTCCATCAATGCCCTGCACTCTGCCTTGAAGCCCCTGAGCCGCAGCGCAGCATGAAGCAGCAGCTGCCCCAGCCCAGCTGCGCAAAGCCACCCCAGGAAGCATCTGTTCGCCCAGCTGCCTTCTCTCTCAGTTCCCCGCACCGAGGGCACTTTTTGCCTTTTGCGCCCAGCCCCCGCAGCTGAAGCAGAAGCACCTTGCTGCCTTTGCCACCTCCTTTTCAGACCCAATTTCTCCAGCGAACTTTCCTCCATGTGACTCCCTGAGCCTTTGGAAAGCTGCACTGTCTTTCTGAAGGCTCTCTGAAGTCAACGCAGCTTTCCAAAGCCAGCGCAGCTTTCTAAAGGCTCAGGGAGCCATGTGGAGGAACAGTTTGATGGAGAAGCTGGGTCCGAAAAGGTGGGTGGGCTGGGGCAGCCTCACATGGCCAGGTTGGGGCGGCTGCAGTTTCCTGGGGCAGCTTCACATGGCTGGGCTGAGGCTATGCAAGCTTCAGTGATTACCAATTGGTGTCTGAGTGCAATTCAGGTGCTAGTCACTATTTATAAAGTCCTAAATGGTTCAGGGCCTGGATATCTTAAAAACTGTCCTTCCATGCCCATCCTACCTGAACATGTAGGGGGCACTTCTAGGGGTCTCCTACCAGGAGGTCACTATGGTAGGCATTCTCTGTAGCAACTTCCCTACTTTGCAAGAGCTTTTCCCGGAAGCAAGGATTCCCCACCCTCATGGCCTTCCAAAAATAGGTGGAAACACAGCTCTTCCAGAAGGCCTTTGGAAATTAATGGCAACCAATGCTGCCATATGAAATGTTAAATTATTTTTAACTATTAATCTTAGCATTTAAACTGTGCATTAGATGATGGATTTTATTATTTAATCAATTTTCAAAACACTGATTTTGTGTTGTATTTTATCTTGTAAATCTGGCAAGCTGTCTACAGTCTGGCAGGTTTCAGGTAGTAGATAAAATACCTAAATATATAAATACAACAAACAAACAAATAGGCAAAATGACAGAAGTATCACATCAGCTTTGCAAGTGAATCCATAGCTTCTAGCCCACATTTGCTTGCCCACCTGTCTAATGTACATTTATGGCCTAACAGTCTATGGTTGTCTGAGGAGATGTACGTGGAAGCTTTAATACAGTCCCTTAAAGACAATTCTGAAACAGGGATTCAAAAGAAACTGGCAATTCAATATATGCTGATACAGCTCAACTACATGTCTCTATATAGTCTCACCTCCACTGATCACTGGTTAAGTTGGCTAAGATATTCGTATCTCTGTCTTGTAGAAGACGGAAAGCAGCACTCAGGTGATGGTTTTCAAGAACTGATCTATCATTATACAGTAGAGCAGTTTTTGACCTAGTATAGAAGTCCAAAAAAAAAAATGCTCATGTTAAATCCATGGATTGTATACTTAACTTCTTTGGTTGGTGGATGGATGGATGGATGGACGGACAATACAGATTATATTTACTTTTTAGAATAATGGTTTCTTAAACTCCATTTGAATAGGTGTTATTTAGCAGCAAACTCTACAGCTGACTACACGCCTGGTCCCTTTGCACCTGCACAACATTTTAAAGAGAGATTTAAAATGGAGACACATAATTAAGCAAGTGAAGTGGATGATACTGTATTTTCATCATAGAAGAAGTATGATGAAATATGAAAGGCCTACACCACTTCAATTAGTGGAAACCCCAATCAGCTGAGCAGCAGATTGTCAGCCAGACAGCCAGCAGTCTGTCAACAGTGACGTCCACTCTCAGGTCCACCCACTGCCATAAAGAGGGATGAGCTGGGTTCCTGGCACCTGAAGGGATGTAAGGCTTTCATACACCTTCAGTGATCAAAATAAACTCCACTTCACTTATGCAGTTGTGTGTCTCCACCTCAAATCTATGTGAAAACCTGTGCCTGTTTAATGCAATATATGGTTTCTTTGGTTTTCTCTTGATTTCTGCTCATTTCCATATTGTCCTGCCTTTTAGACTGTAACTATGTGGGAAGAATAGGCTTGGTTACCTTGTATAACTCATTCTGGGAATACTGTTGACTGAAGATGAGGTGAAAAACATAAAACACATGCAGATTAATGGGCGGGTGGTGGTGGAATGAATGGCTTGGACTTTAGGAAGTGCTTGGACTTTAGGATATCAGATACTCTACAACTACTGTAAGTGGGAAGTAAACCAAACACTAAGTCAGATTAGTTCCTGCACTTCTAGGGCCAGATGATATCAACTGAAGGAACTGGGGAGTGAAAGCTTCACTCCATGTGCTGAATCACCACCCCCTTCCTGTTTGTCAGTACTTCCCTCAGAAGGAATAATAATTCCCTATCTGGATCTGAGGGGAAGACACAGGCAGGGGCTGTTTCTCCACTAAAATGGAGGCTTGGAGAGAATGCTCCAAATCTCCGAAGTAGAAGAAGGTTACCTTGTAGAAAGAGAAAGGAAATCAAGAGAAGGGCTAGAGACCTCCCAAGCCACATCAAGCCTTTAAGTGAGTAGCTCCCTATTTTTGCTAGGGTAGAAACAATGCACATAAACAAACCAAAAAAAAAAAGCCCCACCTTAAAGTGATTAAAGATTAGAAAACACAAGCTGAATTTAAATATCACCCTAAACTATAATCTGGTTTTGAAGGGAAACACACATTTAAAAATAATTCTAAAAATAATGATGTACAAACCTTTCTTTCACTAGTTAGCATTTCTCTTTCCACCATACCTTGATACAACTCCCAAACTCTGATGCCTCCTCTTCTCATTTATCCTGTCCCTGATTTTCCTTCTTCTCAGACTGCTAATTCAAGCATTGACCAATCCCTGCAGCTTTGATTGATCTTGATTGAACTTAAATATGCCTATCGTGAATCAGCCATAATTCACTAAACTATTCAGTCTTTCAATTTTGTCTACAGGTAGAATAGGACTTACCTTGTCTCTATATGGAAATGGTTTGTGGTCCCAGTATGTTCATAGTCATGGATGGAGGTGCTGAAAATAATTGCTAAGATCTCCAGGTCAGTGAACCAATGCTAATGAAAAGAATTAGAAGCCCATCATGTTCCTTAGTGGCAATGAAATACAATGTGTATAGTACCTGTAAATACAATCTTTTATTTAAAAAAAAATAGGGAGTGGGCAGAAAGGACTTTTATTGCAATGAATGGCAACTTCAGGAGGATCTCAAGTGGGTTATCACCCTCCCTTTACATCATGCCAGTGTCCGGGGAGGTCCTCCTTCTGAATTTCCACATGTAAGACCCTCTGATAAATACAGACATAACAGCACAAGCTGCAGTAACTGAAAAATGATGCAAATGTGCACTAGGATGTCAATGGTGGTGGATGCTGGAAACTGTGTTAGCAACTTCTGGAGAACCATATGCTTTACTCATTCTTTATGAGAATGAAAGTAAACTGCTTGTTGTACTTCTGGTTAGAATGCCCATCTTGACAACTTTAGCAAATTTCTCTGGGAGGCACAGAGGAAAATTTAAAAGACAGTGTGTTAAGTCAGAAATTCCTCTGCCAGGTTTCAGATGACCTTTTCCCTGCCACTGAAGGTTTCATCTGAAACTTCTCCCCTCTATGTCAGGCATCCGAGGTGGCTCTTGAGATTTAGAGGCACGGGCTACATGAACAGACACAGATGGAGAACTTACAGACTTTGGAAGAGGTATGAAAGAAAATACTGGACATGACTGAAATAAAGTATCCAGCAGTTATAGGAACTGGAAAAGGGAACTTAGAACAAAGAAAAAGATTAAAAACAAATTGCTGCTCTTCTCTGAAGGATCAAAGTATCACAAATGTGCTTGCCTTTATAACACTCCATAAACTTACTGATGCTTCATCATATATGCATAACATGCAATCTGGTCTGTTATTTTTCTATACCTGCAGTTACTGGGTTGGTTGGTTTGTTGTCCCAGTGAGAGTACAGTGTAAATATTGTCAAGGAGGTCATCACAGGGAGAGAATGGGAAGATAATAATAATGCAGGAGAGGAGAGAGGACAGAACCTGGGTTACATTTTGTGGAATGTTGGTCTGCACCATTAGGTTGCCTATTACCTGCTCCTTCATGGACACAAATACAACCTTATGGATGCATCCAGTCCTGTTTCTTTTATTGCACTGATGGGGAAGCAGGGAAGGTCAGGGCAAATAGACTCTGAACTAGCAGAGCTTTATCTGCCATGAGTACAAGCATACTTTTCAATTGAGTACACCAACTACATTATTAATTTCCAGATATGTATCTAGTTGTCAACTGTAGTATGCAAGGGAGAATTTGTCTCTCTGGGGTATTGCGTCATCTCTTACCATCATTCCAGTATGAAGCATAATGGCATGTGCAGTTTGAGTAACATCTGCAGCGTGGAGTGAATTGTGATATGGATTCTTGTATTTGCTGTAACCAGCTTCCAGAGCTTTTGCAAAGGAAATTAGAATGGTAATAGGTATCTGTGGGAGACAAGAATTGAATGTGCACATTTCTACTGTAGCGATTAACAAGATCAAATATACTAGGATATAAAATGAAATCAACAACTGATTTTCAGTGTTCAATATCACTGGAGTTTTATTAAAAAATTATACATGGATTATGCTCAAAAACAATGCTAATACCAGGGCACTGTGAAAAAGATTTTTAGAACATCAAGGGAAATACTCAATTCCTCATCTGTTCAGGAATTTGCTAGATTTTGCCTTAAGTCATAAGGGTGAGAAATACCAAAGCATCTTATTTATTTTAATTTATTTTGCTCCTGATGGAATTTATGGTCCAAGACAACTTCTTACCCCACTTTGTGTTCTGCTTCTGTGTCAGCCTTCATCAACCTAGAGCCTTCCTGTCGCCACCTCCTTAACTCTAAGATGCATCTTCCTGAGCTCGCACAGCTATCATGTGCCTACACTGGATCCAAAGCACCCTTGCCCATTTCAGATCTCCAAACTACACCTCTATTCAAAATGAAATGAGAATTGTTTCGGAAAGGAAGCAGGCACTAGTTGAGACTGCAACACTTATAGCTGAAATTGTGTGCCTGTGCATGTGTAAGAGTGAGAGTAAAGAGGAGGCAGTGGAAGGGAATAACTCTGCCCTTCTGCTTCGTGTTTTAAGATGCGCCTTTTATTTCATGTTGTCAAACTTCTTTCTAGTCCTCTCTTGAGACTACAGCTGACTTTTTAATGTGACTCTTCAATCACAAAACCTACTGTTTTATTCAAGAATGTGGAATTAAAAGTCTCCTCTGGGTTAAGCTTGTTAAGAATTCGGACTTCTGTATTTCTTGAGATATAGACATATATATATTTAATATATTAGAGTTTTGTTTTAGCTCCTGACCTGGAAACGGCTCAGAAGGTCATATTTGGTGAACATTTCACACATCACAAATTTCAAGCTGTGTCCTTCACTAGCTTCATCTAAGGTAAACACATTAAAATCCCATTTATCGACAGTCTGTCAATGATGAAAAACAAATAAGCAAATACTTTTTAACCAGAGTTTGGCCACAATAAGAACTGTAAAATGTAAACTTAAATGTAAAACATAAATACAAATACTTCAGCTTTCTAAAACCGGGCACTTTGTACATTTCACATTGAATCCTTATGGAGATCTTTGTAAGGGAAAAGGGGGAAGGAATGGATTCCTCACAATGAAGAACTGTCCTCCGGGTGTGTGTGTGGAGGGTGGGGGGAGTGTCAGGATTTTCTCATGGGAAGAAATTCATCCC